CTCTCTCTCTCTCTCTCTCTCTCTCTCTCTCTCTCTCTCTATCTATCTATCTCTCTCTCTCTCTCCACGCGTCACATCCGAGGAGCTTTCTTGGTTGCTTATCTGAGGAAACCATTCGTTTACGCACCCTCCCCGTCTCGAAATCTTGTCCTCTCCTATCAATCAACTCACCTATCATTTTGTCGCTCAGACCTGACTTGTAACATTTTCTGGTCATCTCTGAGCCCCTCCACCTCCACCTCCACCTTCGCCTTCCACATCCACTACCTCCCTCTTGATCCCCCCAGCGCACAAACAGTCATTGAGGTACACTCTCCGTCGTCTCTCTTTGTCCTCTTCCTTCACGAGCTTGTTTTCCAGAGGGCGGAGCTCTGGTAACCGTCCGATAGAGGGTAAGAAGATGCAATCTCTTCTCCTTCACCTGCACTTCAGCTACAGAGGAGTGGGTCTTGGGCCTGGAGACAGCGTTCGTTAAATTGGGACTCAGGGGAAGATAACGCGTCTCCTTCTTCACTCTCGTTATCAAAGAAAGTGTCTTGTCTTCCACGTGGGGGGGGGGGAAGACTGTGTTGGTAAAGCTGGGGATAAGGGGGGGAAACAGTTGGTTGAAGTGTTGTTGAGGGGGAAGATGCTAAGTCTTCCCCTTCGCTTTGATTATCAAAGAGAGGGTCTTGCGCGGGGAGACAGTGTTGGTCAAATTGGGGTTTAGGGGATCCAATGCCGGGGGGCGGGGATAGCGAGAGGCGCCGCCCAAGTCGACACGTCACCCGCAGAGCAAAAAAAAGTGGAAGATGATGGTGGTGGAGGAGAAAGCAGAGGGGAAGAGACGACGAGAGAAGAGCACACGCTGCTGTTGGCGCATTTAATGAATTCCTGAGGTGAAGGCGATGAAGAAGAAGAAATGCATTGACGCGGGGCCACAGAAAGCAATCAATCAATCAAGCAATCAATCAAGCAAGCAAGCAAGCAAGCAAGCAAGCAAGCAAGCAAGCAATCAATCAATCAATCAATCAAGCAAGCAATCAATCAAGCAAGCAAGCAATCAAGCAAGCAAGCAAGCAATCAAGCAATCAGTCAATCAATCAATCAAGCAATCAACCAATCAACCAATCTAGCAATCAATAACCGTACACATACAACGAATTGGAGGGGGGGTGATGTGACCGAGTTTTCAGTCGAACTCTCACCCTGTAGGTTGTGTTCATCCCTCACTGAGCGTCTCTTCCACTTATCCTCCATTCTCCCTCCCTCTCCCCTCCAGCTTCACAGGAACTCACACGCTGCCATGACAAGCTCTCGGTCAATGGTCCGCGGCATGTGGGATTCAGCGACCGCACAGGTACTTCTTTCCCTCCTCTCCTGAGGGCTGTCAATACAAGGCGCCTGGCGATTTTCCCCCATGCCCGTTCTCCCTCTCCCTTTGCAGTATTCTCCTCCTCAATGGCCTTGCCTTGTGCTTACCTGATTCCATCATCAGGATTGGAACTCATGAGCTGTTCACAAACAGTTACATCCGGGAGTACCATTCAGCCACATGGGCCGGGTCGGCCTTGCCCTTTTTTTTTTTTTTTTTTTTTTTTATACAAAAACCAGCTGAGATTGCTAGTGGTGTTGGTATGAGCATCCACCACTAGCAGCTCAGCTACTGGGTCGGCCTTGCCTTATTGTTGTCATCGCCAGCTTGTTTAAACATCGTATCGTGGACTCCTGGTCGTCTATAGCTGCATTTCAAATCATCTTCTTCTTTTTTCCCCTGCCCGGGACTGGAACTCATCATCTGTTTACTAACAGTTACGTGCATGTACCGCTCAGCCAAATGACCAATCATCTCGCTCGCGCTATTCGGTCTGGACGATGACCAGACAACGAGAATGACGTGGAGAAACGCGCAGCAGGAGAACAGCTGGGAGGAGGACAGGCCAAGGGTGACAGTTGCCTTCCACCTTATAGAGGCGCGTTGGTGCATCCAGCAAATTTTCGCCGTCCTTACATGCCGGACTTTACCGATCGGTAAGCAATCGCTTCGCCCTCGGGCCCAAAGTCCCTCCGTGGCTCTGCACTTTTCCGAAGACCGTGGCCAATCCGAAAGGGAGGAGGAGTTGGGGGGGGGGGGGTTGAACCTCCTCCAACGCCAAAGGAGGACTGAGCTGGGGTCACCGCGTCGACATTTCCAGGTCCACCATAGAAGACCAACTGGACACGGGCACACGGCCTGGTGTGTAGGAACCTTTTTTTTTTTTTTTTTTAATTTGGACCATTTCTCGATTTATGCTAATCTAAATAAAAAAAATAAAAAAAAACATTTATGCTAATCTTCTCTGTATTGTTCCAATTTTCCTTGTTTATCCAGCGGCCTAGCTCAGTTGGTAAGGCACGCAAGTGGCATTCAGGAGGTCTTGGGTTCAATCCCCATTGGCCTCATGTACCTTCCTGNCACACACACACACACACACACACACACACACACACACACACAAGCACACACACAACTACACTCATGATTTTGATTCTTTGAACACATCCCGCTTGGGCGTGCATGGGGATATCTAGTTCCTTAGCTGTAAGCTCAGCTCTTGTTGAGTCCTTTTCCTTTTTAGGCATTGTGTCAGAAGCTGACTAGACAGACATGGAGAGCCTGAGCACACTAATTTGGATGTTAGTTACTGCTGAGGGAGGCGGAGGAGGAGTTTAAGAGTCTGCTGCAAACGGAGATCACAGGACTGTGGAGGACAGCGAGAAAGAATATATGGAATGGAACCTGGAAAAGCGGAGGGAAAAAAGGGAAACCTTTGTGAAAGGGGTGTAGGGGGAAGGGAAACTGGCTAAGCTGGAAGGCAACAGGATCAAGTTCAAAAGGGGAGCAAGGAAAGCAGATCGGGGACACCTGGACCCACGGGAGATGCAGAGCCTAGGAGTGCAAGTAGATTGGAGCATGGGTACTCCGTAAGGCGAACAGGAAAGGGGAAACAAGTGACTCCAGATAGGAATTGGAGCTAGAGAGAAGCTGCTGGACTCGGTCACAGGGACCGAGAGGAGCTATTGGAGGGAGGTAAGCTGGCAGTTAAAGAAAAGAGGGATACGGAATTGGCACAGGGATGCAGAAAACTCCATTGAATACAGTAGAAAGTTCAGGAAGAAAGAGGAAAAAAAACTTAAGGACCACTGGGATAGGAGTAGAAGAAGATGAGAGTCGAACTCCTACAAGAGACTTGAGCAGAAGATGCCTTCAAAGCAAATAGAGTCCCTAGGCTAGGGACAGGCAATAGCTGAGAGAAAGGCCTGCAAATTATATGGCATTATAGGAAAGAGAGTCGAAACATAGGCGAGGACAGAAAGAGGACAGGCAACAGCAGGATTCAAAGAGTAGTTCAACAGTCCAACTTAGGCAGGGGTGAGGGGTGGTACAACCTTCCAAGGGAAGTAATCAATGCTGCCCGCTCGGGTCTCTCAACCATAATGGAGAGAAGCTTTGGAGCGCGTACTCATGGTATTCTACTCGACTTGCCCGTGGAAGAGGAACTGGACGGACGCTCCCCAGAGTGGACAAGGAGCCAGAACCATAAGGTTCTGCTTTTTCTTTTCTGTGTTTTCCTGTTTTTTTTCTTTGTTTATTTGGACCATTTCTCGATTAACGTGTGTCATCCTTGTGCAGTGGCCGTGCTAATCTTCTCTGTATAGTTCCAATTTGAACGGATGTCCCGAAGGACAAGGTTCTGTTTTCTCTTCGTTTTTTTGTTTTTTTTTAAAGGAGAGACAGCTGAAGGCAAAAAGAAAGCACATCTCCTAGACTGAGGAAAGTCTTCAAGGAATGCTGTGATGGAGGTAATAGCTACTGTACTTGGGAGCCAAAAGTAGAGCCCAATTTGATCCCCTGAGCAGGGAAGCAATTGGAAGAATAGGTATCTTCTGTAGTGCTCAGACTGAAGAGAGATACTTGAACAGGGCAAAGAAGATATCAGGATCTCACCAACTGGCCAAGCTCAGTTGGTACATCCATGAGCTGTCGGAATACAGACCTGAGTTCGAATCCGGATGGAATCAGATGAGTAAAAGTAAATATTAACTCTGGATTTACTTGGGTCTGGTCAGCTCAAATATGATATCTCAAGGTCGTCGCCCTTTTGAGCAATGAAGAAGAAGAAGAAGAAGAAGAAGAAGAAGAAGAAGAAGAAGAAGGAAAAAAGATATCAGGATCCGTGGGAACATACCGCTCGCAAGTATCCAGGTCGATTGTGCACATAAAGAACAATGATGATGTGCCCTTCTGGCAGGTTCGGATACAGATCGCGGTTCAAAATTGTCCCATCCTGATTAAGCTCCTGCATCAGCCTGCTCTCATCTGTCTGGTGAATCCATCCAGGTGTTCTAAGGAAAGAATATGCAATCTCTTTTCCTGACACTCCCGATCGTTGGCCTCCCATTTTTTTCGCCGCCACTGCTCGTTCCACCATTATCCCATCACTTGTGAGTTTTCCTAGTTCATCCTTCAGCTTGGCAATCTTTCCATCTTGCTCTGCCCATCTCTGGAGCTCTATTCTCCTCTTCCTTTCTCTCTCTCTCCTCGCTGCATCTCTCTCACGCTTTGACACCCACAATCCATCCAGCAGAAACATAGGTTTCTTCTTCTTGACCCACTTTTTTGTCTCAGTTTCTTCTCCAGAATCAGTCATACCTCTTTTTGCCGCACTTCCATTTTGAATTCGCTTCAACAGTTTCATCCTCTTGGCCATCAAATTCTGCGGACTCCCCCATGCGGGCCCACTGGTTTGATTGCCTACTTTCCTTCCTAGTGGTGCTGGGAAACCCCCTGCTGACAGAGTCCGCAGATCAGAGGGGCTGGTCGGCGAGTTGGCGTCGCGTTGGGTCGCGGAAAACAACCTTGATTCCAGTGATGCTATCGTTTGCATTTGCAGTTCCTTAGAAACGCTGCGCACACCGATTGCTTTGTCGATATCTGTTTGTCCTTCCCAACGTCGCTGATCAGGGGTACACGTAGACCAAGGCAGCAAGCAAGGGACCTGCAGGCCATGCATGAGGAACTGACCGCTAATCACGCATACTAAGAGGGCTATCCATTGTTTAGTTGACCTGCACCACAATCGCATTGCCCACATTTTTGAGGCACCCCAGTCCCCTCTACCATACTCTTGCCCTCCTCGTCATATCTTCCTCATCACTATCACGTACTGAGCGTATTCAAACGAATGGCTCTGTCACATGATAGCCTAACGCCTCAATCACCAACTTCTCAACGTGGAAGTCTTTCTCTGCCTCTGCTGCTACCTCTGCCTCTCTCTCTCTCTCTCTCTCTCTCTCTCTCTCTCTCTCTCTCTCTCTCTCTCTCTCTCTCTCTCT